AGAGGGGCCGTCCCAGCGGGGAGCCCCGGGCTCACCTGGACCACAGCGGAGATGATGAGCTCCCCGCCCGCCCCGCCGATCACCAGCTTTGACCCCTGGGCCGTGTTGACCAAGATGGAGGGGACCATGGACGAGGGGGGCCGCTCCCCTGGAACTGAAGGCCCCGTGGGTGTCACTGGCAGCCTGGCTTCCGAGCCAGCGCCCTACACACCGCCCCTCTACCTGTCCCCTCTCACTACCTCACACCATGGCTGGGAGAGGTGGGGTCCCCCAGGCCGATCACCAGCTTTGACCCCTGGGCCGTGTTGACCAAGATGGAGGGGACCATGGACGAGGGGGGCCGCTCCCCTGGAACTGAAGGCCCCGTGGGTGTCACTGGCAGCCTGGCTTCCGAGCCAGCGCCCTACACACCGCCCCTCTACCTGTCCCCTCTCACTACCTCACACCATGGCTGGGAGAGGTGGGGTCCCCCAGGCAGCGCCCCTCTCTCCAGGGGGGCCCCCCCGCACACGTGCGAGGCGAGTACACCATCGCCCCGAAGCTGCGGAGGCGGAGGGGGGCCGGGCTCAGGGACAGCCTTCCGGGGGCCCCTCATTTTACTTTTATTTTTAAATGTATTTTTATTGATTTCAGAGAGAGGAAGGGAGAGGGAGCGAGAGAGAGAATCATCCATGATGAGAGAGCATCACGGATCGGCTGCCCCCTGCACACCCCACACTGGGGATCGAGCCCGTAACCCGAGCCTGTGCCCTGACCGGGAATCGAACCCTGACCTCCTGGTTCATAGGTTGACGCTCAACCCCTGAGCCACGCCGGCCGGGCCCGGAGCCACTCACTTTGGTGGCTGCCCTCCCGCGTGCCGGGCCGCTGCCCTCTCCCTGGCACTGCCCCCAAGATCCCCCCGTGCGCCCCATCAGGGTGTTCTGTAAGGCCCCCATCAGCAGAGGTATCAGGGTGTGGGACCCCTTTTTGACAGAGAAGAAGAAGAAATGGGAAAAGCAAGGTGAGGAGAGGCTGGGGCTGGGAGACAGGCAGAGGGTGGGGTGGGGGGGTGACTCAGGTCTGGGGGGAAAGGAGTGGGTCTGCCTCCGGGGACACGCA